CATCCTACTATAGAGATACCTACACATCCATGTCTATTGTTGGTCTTTTCATAATAGCAGAATAGAAGCTTTTATTCATAAGAATAGAAGCAATTTAAGTGGCCCTCAACAGACAAATGGAAAATGAAAATGTGGTATGTTTACACAGTGGAGCTCTACTCAGTGGTTAAAAAAAAAGATGAAATCATGAAATTTGTACATAAATGGATGGAACTAGAAACTGTTATACTAAGTGAAGTAACACAGACTCAGAAAAAAAAATTCTCCATTTTTAAGTGAAAGCTAAAAGTGTGGTATAATATAGGTTCTCTAAGTCAGGCTTAAGGGCTTGTAATCCCAGCTACTTTGTAGGTTGAAGCAGGAGAATTCCAACTCAAGGTTTGCTTGGGATACTGAGGAATTCAGGGTCAAACTGGGTAATAGTAAGACTGTCTCAAAATAAAAAGCAAAAAGAGAAGTAGCACAGTGGTGGAATGAACATTTGCCTTGCATGTTGAGTCTTGTATGTGTGAGCCTTGCATGTATGAGCCTTGCATGTGTGAGCCTTGCATGTATGAGCCTTGCATGTGTGAGCTTTGGAGTCATTCCCCAGTCCTGAACAAAAATGACTTTTCAACAATGGAAGTCATTTTTTCAGTTTCATATCTGCTAGTTTTGCAAAAATATTTAGAGTCTATTTTTGTGAAATTTTGCTTGATATGATATGCTGATTACTGCTTTTTTTCTTTCTTTCTTATTTTCGTATTCATTTACCTTTGAAGCAAGTTCTCCTGGTTCCTTCTTTTCTAGAAATCCTGGGACCTTTCTAATTTCAGGAAGTTCAAAACTCCATATATACTGTAATACCAACAGCAGATTTCCATAGACAACCATAAAAGGAGAGCTGATCATGGCATATTTTCTTCTGTTGCGAATCATCCAAAGAGTACAGGACCAAATCAACAACACAAATGTCAGCCAGCTGTGGTAGGTGATGCTCCATGCCTGCAGAGAGCCAGGAAAAACAAAGGACAACCGTCAATACAACACACTCATCCCTCTCTAGGAAGTCCAAAATTAGCTACACAGAAAAGATCACTAGCATTTAGACCAAGAAGAGAGACTTGTGATGGGCACAGGGAAGCAGAAAAGGGGCTGAGATGACCGTGTGTGACATTGGCTTTGCACTTCCTTTAGTGATGAGCCAAAGATCCTTTAGCCCAAATCTCCTTATCTTCATCCTACTTTGCAGTTTAAAACAAGTCCTTCCTTTTCCCTAAACAGTTTGGAGTTGGTGGATATTTACATCTCATGGAGCTTGGGCTACAGGTGGGTGAAAATGGGAGCTTTGAGGATTAGGAATTGAAGGCAGGCAGGCAGGCAGGCAGGCACTAATGTCAGGCAGATGTACCTGATAGAAATTAAAGAAGCTCTCAGGACCCATGGTAGCAGAATGCTTGCCCTGATTTAAAAAAAAATTACTGCAGGTAAGAAGGATAAAGTCTCACTTGAATCTAAGATTAAGTGTGACTACTACTTCTGTGAAAGAAATATAAATGGCCTATCTCTGCCTTTAGTGTCTTTCAGAAAAGCTACCCTGTTATGTTCTCTTAAGTTGGCAAAACTGGACTTGAGTAGGTCATTTGAAAGATCTATATTAATATTTAAAAAGAAGGGAAGTAAGAGTTGAAAGCGGCATGAGTTTGTAGTCTATAGTATGAAAATCACATGAAAAATTAACATACCTAATTACTGTCTGCCACGCCCTAGGAAAGAGTGCAATCTTTCCTGAGAGGCTGCAGTGTCTGCTAGGGGCTCCACACCCAGCCCTGGTGGCTGTCCTGCATACTCACCATCATGGCAATGAGCGCACAGATGTAACTTTGCTTCATGATGAACTGGAACACCGTGACCATGGCGTGAATTCTCACACTTCTTTTTTCCTCCAGACTCCTTTCTGCTTCAGAGTCTTCTTTCTTGTCTTCATCTTCCTCTTTCTTTTCTAGATAGACAAATACTTTATTTGATTATACGTGTGAGTGACACCTTTTTCAGTGTCCTTCACAGTGCATCACATGTGTGGTTTTGACAAAGCCCTTTAGGGTAGGAATTCCTTCCAATTAATAAAGGCCCTGGAAGTCAAACAAGCAGCAGCTTTTCCTTGATGGAGATCATTGTATTTACTGCCCAGAAATGCTGGGAAGAAGCTTTCCACTGGAAAGGATGTGGAATGAACCCTCTAGGACCATCTGCAAAAGGTCCAGCCCCTAGCATTCATGACCTTGTACATCTCTCCCCTTAAGTGTGATGAGCATCTAATAGATAGAACACTCTGGAAGAGATAGACTGTCATTTGCCAGATTCAATTTGTGTGTGTGTGTGAGCTAGGGTTTATGGAGGAAAGTTCATGGATCATGCCCAGCTATGATAATGATAAGTCAAATGGACTTGAGTGTTATCGTATGCTACTACACAGAGCAGGGCGCTCTCTCTCTCTCTCTCTCTCTCTCTCTCTCTCTCTCTCTCTCTGTGTGTGTGTGTGTACAGATTCAATTTCAAAACTTGCCAGTTTTTTGCTTTACTTTTGAAAGTTCAATTTATGATATAGTATATCAGCCAAATTCAATCTGTATGTTCTTGCATAAGTAATAGTAAACAGAAGGATGTCTTAGCTATGACCTGAATATTTGAAGTGTTAGAAGTTGCAAAGCTCTCTTCTCAGGTCCTGCCCTTTGGGACTCTGGTGGCTGTGCTCTGCGGAGTACTGTGGAAAGCACTGTGGGTGGTTGTGGAGTTCACAACTGCTGTCATATAGCTGTGGTCAAGAACTGATTTTGATTTATACTCACTGACAAATATTTGTTGGGTAATCTGATTCACTGGCTGTCTTGCCAGGCAGAATCTCTGTCAGAGCAATCACAGTACCGATAAGGGCTGGAAAGATGGATCAGTGTTTGAGAGCACTTCCTGTTCTTGCAGAGGACCCAGGTTCAGTTGCCAGAACTCACAATAGGCAGCTCACAACTGCCTGTAACTCCAGTTCCATGGGGATCTGATGCCCTCTTCTGGCCTCCAGGGTATTGTATATATGTGATGCACATATATACATGCAGGCAAAACATACTTTGAGGCCTATACTAATTTGGTTAGAGGACAAAGGACAGTGTTTGCTCCTTGCCCTCCTAGGTCGACTAGTTCCAGGGGAATATGAGCATCTCTCAAAATGTTCTGTAATTGTGGTGGGTCACCTGTCCTCTTGATCAAGGAGGCTGAGGAGACCCCATGAGATGTACTTGAACCACTGTCCGGTCTACAAAGAGGAGGGTCAACACAGAGGAATCATTTCCTCCATGCTTCCAAGCAAAGCCAGCCATGGTCGAGCAGGACCTTTGACCTATCTTCACAATACAGAACTGGTAAAAGAAAGGAGCCAGGGGCTCCTTTGAAGCCCATGTGACCCCTGAACAACAGATCATCAACGGCCTTAAGAGTAAAAATAAATTGGTTTACCTGAGCCAACTGTATGGCCTTAAACACCCAAAAGGAAAGTATAACCAAAGATTAAAGGGGACAATATAATTTTTAAGAGTCCATATGTTTAGCTAAAGGCTACATAAGAAGCAACAATGCCAGATAGGAGATACCTTCTTTTGAATTGTTGGCCAGAGTGGCCTAAGGGACTCCCAGATAGTAACCCAGCATAGAACTGGGAAAATGAACAGCAGAATCCAATCACATCTAAAGGAATATTGACAACTGATTGCTGCTAGATGAGGAATGGATGACCTTCCTAAAACAAAGACCTCTAGATAGACTGACTAGATTCACCAGATGGACAAGTAGTGGGTAATGGCTGGGGGTGCTGACAACACAGCAGACAGTAGCAGGGATATCAGAGTATAAGGGCTCTAGTGGGGGAAGGAGGCTATGGGAAGGTACCATCTGGGAAGTCGGTGTATAGTTGAATAAGATGGTTTGGGATGTTCTGTGTGATACACACACACACACACACATAAATAAATTTTATAAAAATGTATTATATTTGAGGAGGAAGCATAAAAATTTACCACATGTTAATTAGCAGAGGTGATAAACATTACCATTGAAATCTACCCAATGACTTTATAGACATACACAGGTGCTAAGGATCCAAGTGCAACCAATTATGACTACTAATAATCAGATACACATAGGTGAGAGATGCATGTGCCAACATCTCAGTGTTAGTAGCAAAAACAATGAGTCTTTCTGTAAGAAACAGTATATTTTAAAATGAAATGGAACTCTTTTTTAAAGGTTAAAAACTCATTCAATTTTATGTCTTACAGGGCTTATACTGAGTTTAATATTTTGTAACTGTATTAATTCAACAGCAAATCTAAAAATTTTATAGTCACTTTTGAAAGAGCTGTATCTGTGCTCTGGAAACTGTTATTGAGCATATTAAAGTTGTAATGATATGCTTCTTCTAAAAAACTAAAAAATAATATTTAAAAAATGTGGGAAACAGCATATTTTAAAATGAAATGGAGATCTTCTTTAAAGTTTAAAAACTCATTCAATTTAATGTCTTACAGGGTTTATACTGAGTTCAATATTGTATAACTGTATTAATTCAACTGTGAACCTATAAATTTACAGCCACTTTTCAAGTAGTTATTAAAAATAAAAAAAGATTAAAAATAATAATTAGTAGATTTGAAAAACATTACCGTTGAAATCTACCTGATGACTTTATATCCATGCTCAGGTGCCAAGGATCTCAGAAAGTAACCGAGTGTGACTAGTAATAATCAGATATATAGAGATTAGAAATGCATGTGCAAATATCTTAATGTCAATTGCATTGAAAATGAATTTTTCTGTATGAAACTGTGTATTTTAATGATGAAGTGGAGATATTTTTTAAAGGTTAAAACCTCATTTAATTTTAGGTCTTATAGGGTTTATATGGAGTACAATATTGTATAACTGTATCAATTCAACTGTAAACCTAAAAATTTACAGCAAATTTTGAAAGAGATGCATCTTAGCTCTGGAAATTGTTATTGAATATGTCAATGATGTTATAATGAAATGCTTCTTCTAATTATGTGGTTATTAAATAAGTAATTAAAGAATGTGAAATAAAATAAAATATTAAAAAAGAAGTGCTGATAAAACTTTTGAAGAACAAAACATAAGAATAAATTTGATGAAGAATTATGAGAAAAGTCCCTTAGAGAAAGCTTAGTGTGTTATGGTGCAAGTTAGCTAGCTACACTCACCAATCACTGGATCTGTCCAGTGACGGATATTAGCTCTGTAAATATCAGAGAGAGAGCTCTTATTATTTTGAAGCTACTTGGCCGCTGCTTGGAAACATCCTGCTGCTCTCTTTTGTTTAATACTAAGTTAATTCTGCCTTTATGAAGTGTTGATTGTCATAGCACAACAGGCTTAGACGACAACTGCTTTGGGGGAATTAGTGTTATTAGATCTGCAAAAGGTTCCAGATATGTTCATGTCTAAGTTAAAATGGAAACTGCTACTATTTAGATTAACAAAACAAAAACAATTCTGTGCAGATGGAAGTTAAGTCAGAGGGTGAGATCTTCGTACCAGAATATTGATCTGTCATCTCTAGTAATATTCTACTTTTCCTTCAACTGAGGGAAAAGAAGGAAAATCTGGCCCCTTTCTATTTTACTTGTGTTTCCATGTTTAAAACTTATCATTGTGCATATACATTGTACATGAAACTATGTCACATAGGGATGTTCTCATACATGCATATCTTATGTATTGAGCATATACTCCCCTATCCCAGGCTTTTGAGTCTGAATGCAGTTTCTCTGGTTTGTGGGTTCCATTTTGACTCTTTGTCTTCTTTCTTGGGTTCCCATGTGTCTGACACACCCCTGGTCAGTTCTTTTCAAAGGTTGCATCACAGACATTAGTCACCTCATGGGTGGTCCTTCAGCAGGGGGTGGGGGTGGTCTGGCTGTCAGTGCTGGCTCCAACCCTGTGCAGTCCTTCTAAATGTCTATTGCATGTGCTTGGAACATGAGTCTGTGTTCCCTGCAGACTCCGGTACTGAGCAGTTTTTTCCCTCACTGAATATTGTATACTTCTGACTTAATGTCTCTTTTCTGCAGTCTAGAGGCATTCTGGTGCCCAGTTTTAGGTATATAGTTCTGTAACACTTGCCCTGGGTTCCCAGAGAGTGCAGCTCACAGGGGGATCTGGGACCATTGCCAGGGGTGTTTTGAGAATGGTTTCTCACCACTGCTAATGGCTGGCTAGCTCCTCCCACTGACATGACTGCTGGCAACATCAGTCTCCCTTCACCTTTTTTCCTTTTAAAGAAGTCTGTTACTAGCTATTGCCACAGCCCTTGGTTGCTCCCTAGAACTTGAAGGTAGGACACTACCGCTGAAGACAAGGCATACTTCAAACACAGGACTTGGAGTATTGGCGTTGGAACTGACCTGGAAACCACCTCCCCGAAGGCTAGCTCTCATAGTTTTTGAGAACACTATGCAAGCTGCTAAGGGAGACTATCAATCAATGGTCTAACCCCAGATTTAAGGCCTAATAACCACAACTATGACCGGCACAGCAAATTATACCGGGGCAGTAGTGGCACTTCTATCTTGAGGGTAATCAACAGCTCCCTAATTAGAGTTAAAGCCCACTCAATGCGAGGGAACTCATATGTGGTCCTGTAAACATAGCCAAACATACAAGGCTAGAGTAGTCATAGATCTTAGAGAAAACCCCAAGGCTGTCATATCCTTAGACAAATGTAATTTCTTACTATATGCTAAATACGGATCCTTATATTTACAGACAAGTATGACAGTCACCACTCATCAAAGAAGCTTCTTTTGCAATAGACACAAACCAGTTTTACAACTGGTCACAGACAGATATTAAGTGTCTGTGAAATGCCCAACCCTAAGTGACACATCTACAATGGAACCTCTACACCTAAGGCTCATGGAACATAGTGGAACAAGGGGTAGAGAGAATACTAATGCATCTCTCAACTCCCATCAATGACGCTCCCTCACGCAACAGAGGGCAATGAAACCAGGGCTCAGGGACCATTGTGGAAGAGGGGACAGAAAGATTGTAAGAGGCAGGGAAGGAGGTACATGACCATGGAAATAGAGCCTTATAGACTCCTGGGACCTTGCTCATATGAACCTACTGCAATGCTGTCAGCATGCACAAGACCCATGCAAACTCAAGCAGACAAAAACTCAGCATAGAACTGTTGAAAAGGGCAGCAGGCCCCAGTCTTAGCCAAAGAACTACTGGACAGCTGATTACTGCTGGGTTAGGAAGAGCTGATCTTCCTAGCAGATAGGCTGACTAGTCCCCAGTGGATGAACTTGCAGTGAGGGACATCAGGGGACACTAACTTGACTTGCTAGGCCTTAACATAAATCACAGAGTGTATGACATCCAGTGCTTTTCCCCCCTTTGTTTTCAGTTTGTCCCTCTCATGCCACTTATTTTGTGTATAAGGGTAGAATAGGAGCAAAAACCATGCTTATGTGAAATTGAGATAGAACTTAAGGCAATGAGCTTAATTATATTGACCGTGGATGACAGTATTTGTTTAAAAATAAAGAACCAAATCAAACAGGAAACAACAGAAAGCGGCTTCACCCTTTGGAATGAACGAGAGAGGAGCACAGCCTGAGCTGTGCCACTGCAGGGCGCGGGAGTTACCTGTGGACTCCTCGGCGGGCTCCCACCGGTACTGCGGAGTGGAGTACAGATCAGCCTTGGCAGGGCCATTCTCTATGGGCAGACTTGGGTGGATGGTGTGGTAGTCCACGGGGTTGCCATTCACGGTCATCAGCAGGCCCTGCCAGAGGAGCGGGGAACAGGGCAATGTGACTGCAGTCTGGCCTCTCTCTGCCCTCCTTCCTGTACCCATGGTAAAAAACTGATTTTTTTTTAAAAACAGCTGTGAGCCATTTGGTCAGTTACCCAAATACTTTTATCAAGATGAATTGTATACTCTTTCTCCAAATTTGGTCTTCACAGGTGGGTAACGGTAAAATAGCCACACGATCTTTGTTAAGAACCATGCCATGTGCCTGTCTTCACAGCTAAGTTTGAACTTTTGAGAAAGGCTTGCAGAGCCCTTCCTGATGTGGCTCAGCTTTCTACTCTGCAACTCTGAGCCATCTGGCTATGTGGTCCTCAGTACTTTCCCTATACCGGTGCCCACTCTGGTCCTGCCCCAGACCTCCCTCACTCTGCACAGGTGAGACAACACCCCAGTTTCAGGGCTTCAGTTCATTAGATGCAAATACTGGAGGATTTTTCCTCTTGTCTCCCTGACATTATATTTTTGAGATAAACATAAATACACAGGCAAGACTTTCTATTTATGTAATAATTAGCATAATTACAGAAGAAAATGTTTTAAAAATCAGGCCCACAGGGCAGGGGAGGATAGTTCAATCTGTAAAGTACTAGCTTTGTAAAAACAATGACCTGAGTTCAATCCCCAGAATCCATGTAAAGAAAACCAAGCATGGGGTAAAACACTTGTAATGCCATAGCTAGGAAGGTAGAGACAGGCAGATTGCCAGGGATCACTGACCAGCCAGCCTATACTACAGTAAGTTCCAGGCCAGGGAGAGGTCCTGTCTCAGAAAAAAAAGGGTGGACAGCTCTTGAGGAAAGACACCCAAAGTTGTTTTCTGGATGTTACAGTCATACACACATATGCATTTCCACTATACATGTGCACCTCCCACATACATGGGCAGGGACACATATACATGCATAGAAAGGAACAGTCCCACAGACAGGGCCTTTTCAAACTGGAAATATCTTTTGTGTGTTATATTCAACCTCATATCATACAAGTCAGCATCTTTAGAGGAATAAACCAGATATAATTTCTGCAAAAAGTAATAGAAAATTTTACAGGAAATGTATAGATAGTTCAAATATACTCAAAGGATCTAACTCCATCTGTCAGTTGAAGTCACTTACATAAGTATATATGAGAACTCTAATATGTATATACTAACATCAGATGGTTTGTAGTCATCTTGGGTCATGGACAGAAGCTGCAAAAAGCAAGGTGGGACAGCGTGTTAGCCAGCTGAAGGCAGTTTAAGTTACCTCGTATTTGTCCATCTTCCCACATACAGCCACCCCCCAAACTAGCTGGATGCTAGAGTGTTAAAAGCTCCATGCAAAGCACAATGGGCAACTGAGCTGGACGCCACTGCTCATCATAGCTATTTCCCAGTCTATGTAATAATGAGTAAGCAGCCAGCCATATGCCACGTGATTATAAACACAGTTGTATTTTGCAGGGGTTTTGTTCTGATAGGATAACCTGCTTGGTTTTAGGCACCTCAGACCCCATGCAACATCTATAGAATTCTTATGCATCTAAAAATAGATAAGATTCAGTAAAAATATGGTATAAAAGTTAAAAGCGGTCTACCTGTACAGGATACTTGCTGTGAATGGAGCTTGCAGGACTAGATTTAAGTCTAGGTATGTCAGCAAACAAACCATGAGTGGACATGACAGTCTAGAATGTGACCACACCTGCTGGAGACCTTATAAATATGGAACACTTCGGCTGTACTAGAATTATTTCAACAGCTTTGTTGTAACATGTGAACCATGCTTTGTGCTGTGATGTTGAGACAGCTATATCTCACGCTACAGGAATTTTTGAGGTCATTATAATCTAATGGGACCACTAACATAGATTGTCATCAAGTTGTAGGTGGCTCTCTTTCATTCTGGTCCAAGGATGCTCATAAGAGAACAAGGTTTGTGTTTTCTGTGAGTGCCTAGCAGAGGAGTGGATGGTCTACAATCACCACTGTGCAGTGGGCTTGGGGGCCTTGGCTTTGATTTGCACTCAGGTATAATGACGTTTTAACCATCAAGCAAAGATCTTCAGTATTAGAATAGAAAGAGCTGAAGCCTTTTGACCCCCAGAGCTCCCTGGGACTTATTTGTACATGGCTGGGCTATTATTGGTGAAACAGGCAAGATAATATGAAGCACGGGGGAAATAATGGAAACCCTCAGGCATTTCAGCTATCACCCCTGTCCCATGGTGCATCACCCCATCCCATGGAGCATCACCCCTGTCCCATGGTGCATCATTCTGTCTCATGGTGTATCACCCCTGTCCCATGATGTGCCCCATCCCATGGTACATCATCACTGTCCCACGGTGCATCACCACTGTCCCATGTTGCATCACCCCGACCCATGGTGCATCACCTCTGTCCTATGGTGCATTACCCCGTCCCATGGTGCATCACCTCTGTCCTATGGTGCATTACCCTGTCCCATGGTGCATCATCTCTGTCCTAGGGTGCATCACCCATCCATGGTGCATCACCCAGTCCCATGGTGCATCACCCCGTCTGCTGTTGCTGTCCTTCATAGCAGCTGCTTTATTTCTTACCCTCTCTCAGCACAGGGCAGTGGCACTGAGAGCAGGGCTGTACGTCTTGAAGAAACTCATCTGCCACTGACAGTATCAGACAGTCTTCTCAGTTCTCTAATATGCTGGGAGCAATTTGCTGACCCCATTCAGGAGTGAGAAGAGTATTTGTCTTCACAACTTTGTATACAGGCAATTTAAGTCAACATAGCATCAGCCAAAAGGAGTTCAAATTGACTGATAGTCAAAAGGTTATGCAAATTATATATTGTATATAACTTACACATTAGAGGCATTATGTGAATCAACACTTTCATTGTCAGTGCCCGCGGCTGCCTAGAAAAGCAAGAGGCCCATAAGCACATGGAGGCAGAGCCTGAGTGCTTCCCAAGCAGTTACTGTGGTTGGCTACTCAACACAGTGGACTTATCAGCTATAATGTGTTCGGACTCTGAAGTTTTCATTTCTCAGAGCCGACAGGTTGCTTCTTTATTTAAAAAAATATTTTAATTAGCTGGGCATTGTGGCACAGGACTTTAATCCCTGCACTCAGGAGGCAGAGGCAGCCTGGCCTACATAGGGAGTTCTAGGCTAGCTGGGGCTATAGGAGACCCTGTCTCAAAAAGACCAAAACCAAATATAATTTAATTAAAAAGTTATCACGAATATTTTTTTTAGGATTAGGAGATTTCAGTGAAGGCTATAGGAATATAAAATTGTTCTCTTATGGGGTCTGGTAGGAGCATGCACTTCCCCTAAAAGCCTCGTTTCTCTCTGATAGAAGGATCTGGGAATCCAAGCCATCCAAGTCAAATTATTTCCTAAGCCTGGAGTGATGTGAGCTGACCACTATTATTAAACCCCACATTCAACAACAAAGTACAGACATAGAAAACCAAATGGGGAAGAGATTCTTGCTTGTGGCTTACTTTTCTCTCATCGGTTGGGTAATGGGTTGCATACCACAGGCTCCGCCTCCTCTCTGCTATGTTCATGTTGGAGCTGCAATCCAGGGCTCCATCATCTTCCTTTGTTCTCTCATCCTGCACCTGAAACATAGAATCATGGGAACAGATCTGCTTCCCAAAGCAGATCTGCAAGCAGTCTGTAGCCAATCTCTTCCCCTCTGCCCTGTGTGGTTATTTTTTATAGTTAGTGTAAGATATAGGTGGCATTCAATCAACATTCTCCTGGATAACAAAAATGCTGCCCTGTATTTCATATCCTATGAAGCCTTATTTATTGCAAAATAAGTCATGATGCCGAATGTCCACAGTTTCTCCATGTTATTCTGAACTGCACTTGAGAACAGCTATGCAACTGGTTATTAGGGTAAGCACTTTTAAAACTATGCAGTTAATGGTGTAAGCCAGCCATTGGCAAATCTCTAATTAAGACCTTTCTTTCTTTCTTTCTTTCTTTCTTTCTTTCTTTCTTTCTTTCTTTCTTTCTTTCTCTCTCTCTCTCTTTCTTTCTTTCTTTCTTCTTTCTCCCTTCTTCATTCTCTCTCCCTTCCTTCCTCCCTCCCTCTCCCCTTCCTTCCTTCCTTCCTTCCTTCCTTCCTTCCTTCCTTCCTTCTTTCCTTCCTTCCTCCTTTTGTTCGTTCTTTCTTTCTTGCCTGGATTTTGCTAAGTTGCCCAGATTGGCCTCAAACTCACAATTCTTCTGCCTCAGCTTCCTGAGTGCTGGGATCACAGGTGCGTGTCACCACGCTCATCATCATGTCCATCGAGATGATACTTACTTAAGGCAGATTCATTCAGAGTTCTCACACAATATCAAGCAAGAGCATATTCCATGCACAAAATCATTCTTTAATGAGACACTTGCCCAAAGCAGTCAACTCGCCAAGGACAGACAATAAGAAGCAAATATAAAGAACAGAATCAACTGAGTCTTACCATTAACATATCAGTTATGTTACAGTGGAAGGTATGGATTTAGGCTCACTGGCCTAAATATGTGCAGGAGAGAGAAGTATCCCACCTCCCAGCAGTCCAGTGAGTCCCGATTTATGATGGACCAACCTAGAATTTTTGACCTCACAATGATATGAAGTGATATGCATTCAGTAAAAATGGTACTTTAAGACAACTTGCCACTGATGGTGAGCACTCATGCAACCATTCCGTTGATCACTCTCAGCATTCACTGTGCTTAATAAATGACATGTAATATTCAATCCTGTTATAAAGTCATCTTTGTAATAGATGACTTTGCCAATCGGCAGGCTATCATGAGTATCCTGAGTATGTTTAAAGTAGGCTATGCTAAGTCATGATAGCCAAAAGCTCAGGTGCATTTTCAACTAAAGAGTATTTTCAAGTCATGATGGGTTCATTGGGAAGTAGCCCTACTATATGCTGAGGAGAATTCATATGTACTTAATTCTTGACATGTTCTCATTCTAACCTCTCCCCTCCCCCTCCCCCCTCCTCCTCCATGTTTGATAGACCTTCGCCTCAGTGCTCACACTTGATGGCTGGCATTCTTCACTGAATGTGCCAGAGCATCTGCACTACGTGTGATCAGCCTCCTATCTTAGACATTGCTCAATAAGATATCTTCCTGCCTCAGCCCATTTAAAATGCATTTTGAGGGGCTGGAGCAATGACTCAGTGGTTAAGAGCACTGACTGCTCTCGCAGAGGGCCCGGGTTCAATTCCCAGCACCCACACAGTGACTATGAACCGTCCTTTATTCCAGTTCCAGGGGAATCTGAAGCCCTCTTCTGACCTCTGCAGCATTGCATGACACGGGTGCACTCACATACATGCAGACAATACACTCACACATAAAATAAAAATAATAAATAAAATATTAAAAAATAAAATGCATATTGAAATGCTAATACCAATACCAAACCCTGTGCTCTGCTTGACCTTGCAGACACCTGTTTATCACACTGCTCTTGCCTGTATAGCCAATAGCTTAGGCTTCCCCAACTCTCTCTTCCTTCCTAGCACCAGAGACAGTCCAGAGTGATACCAGAGTATTACACAAACCTGAAGAGGTAATCTCTGAGCCATCATCAAGCTACTGCATTATCTGAGTGGCTACAATGCAATGCCATAGTGAAAGCTAAATGCTCTGGGAATTCTAATTATTTGAAAGTCTTAACTTTTGTAGTATGTGACATTATTTAGAAATAGTTCCCACATACATTTTAATTTTATGTAAATTTTATTGATGATATATACATGTACACATTCATGCTTTTGGAAGAAGCTAACATAATACAAATCTTAAAATATTTTATTAGCATAGACAAATGTTTTAAAAGAATTGGAGGAAGGTGTAACATAAGATGATTGGGTTCTTTTTGACCTCACGAAGCATTTTGTAACTATAACTATCATTTGGCATGCCCAATGAAGACATCCATGCGAACTGAACTAACAGGGATGAGATTTGAGACCCCAGGCTTAATCGCTTTTACTTTCAATGTTGTCCATGGAATGGAGAGGACGTGCCATGCAGAGGGGAGAGAGATTCTTATTTCTACAAGTGGCAATTCTGCCAGGGATGGAAGGAGACCTGCGTTTCACCCAGTACCATTGGTGCTATCTGATTCAGATCCCATTTGTTTCTTTTTGGTTGCCTTTTGTGTTGTAGACTAGATAGTTCCTGTGACTAGTGGCCTTATCTACCATGGTCTTTCTTGTCAGTCCCTAACTTAGCTCAATACACACTTGGCCTTCAAAAATGATGTATTTTCTGAGGTTGGAATGAATATGTGGATCTAGTACAGTGGTTGAGGGTGAAAGCAGAAAAAGGTGAAAATTGCTTCAGGGCCATGGTTAGCAACAGTGCAGGGTACGTATGAGGTTACATTCTGGGCCTGCATTCTGCTGTTACTGACATGAGCAGCTCCCCCTGCAGGTGGATGGGAGAAAGGTGCAACAATCTTAGCCTCCCTCAGGCCCTGCCTTTTCTGTGTGCCCAGCCCCGGCTTTACAGCAAAGACTCTCAACCATCTGGGAGACAGGAGAGGACTGAGGCCTTTCTTCACTAGTAGAGAGGATAGGGAAACCACAGAAGCTTTAGTCTTCCTCTCAAAGTACCATATCCTTGTTAGTATTCCTGTGGGGAACAAGCTAGTGTTCTGTGGTGCCTGAGTGAGTGTGCTAATCTGCATCCCTCACAGCGGAAACCCCAGGCACCACTGAGAGCTGGGCTTCTACAACATCCTCATAGGCTGAGGTGTTAGGAAGATTGGGATACAGGGTTGCACAGCTTCTAAGATAGCTTCGCTGTCAACATGGACTTGAATCTAATCTGCACCGTTCAGTAAGTGTGTGATGTCAGAAAACTCACCTCTCATTTTCCTCACCTGTGGGATAGGCAACTTACTCTTTCTTCAGAATTGTTTAATGGATGGAATGAAAGGGCGCATGGATGCACAGAGCGGCCTGCCTGGTGGCTTAGTGAGTGCCTGATAAAAGCTGATCTTCCATTATTGTTACCAGCTATCATTTGTAGCAGCAACAGTGATCTAGTTGACAGGACGCTGCTGTTTGTTCTAACAGTGTATTCTCTCACGTAATACTCTTTGAAGAATTATGCTACTGTGTGCAAAAGTCTACAGCTTTGTTGGAATGTAGTGTTGAGTTGTCAGTAGGTAGCAATAATCATTTCACCCAGGTCGCTTTGCAGATAAGATTAGGAAAAACATTTGGATCCTTACAAGCGGCTCTTGCAGCCAGATGCGGATCAGCGTGGCCAGCGTGTAGTACATCACCAGCAGGAGGATGGGGTTGGCGTGGTGATACCAGGACAGCTCTGGGTTTACTATAATCTTCCAGGTGCTAGAGCAGTCTGTTTGGATAACTGATTTGATTCCGAACAACCTGTTTAAAAACAAAGAAATGTTGGCAGCTACAATCAACTGCAGGATAGGTTAACAACCTCAGGATAAGTTAACCCATTCTTGTGTAGATATATAAACACACAATTTTATAACATATACAGATACATATAATATGCATACACATTTATAGTTTAGATGAGTAGGAGAGAAGAGAGATCCTGAAGAATTGGTGTGATTTTACCAGGCTATGAGGGTGGGCTGTGAAAAGAATCAGAAATGAGAGAATAAGATCAAAGACTCTATATTATTGACTGACGAATCATGGAAGTGGCCAAGCTTCATTCCATCTTGGTGGGACCCAAAGAACTGCCAGAGTCTTCAACTGGAGTATTTTCCCCATGCCCCACAACAATTTCATTTGAAATCACATTTTGAATTATTATTACTGTTACTTTGTTGGTTTGTTTCTCTACCTAGGTAAACTCTAATTTCTTCTGAACAGGGGATATGCCTTGTCATCTTGGCTTCAGGATGTGCCTGGGGTAGAGAAGGTTTTGTGTGCAAGCATGTTTAACTGAATCAAGTGCACAAAGAAAAAGGTGATCGTGTTAATGGGAGGAATGGAGACTAAGGGATGGTAACATTCCTGGAAAGAAAAAAGGAAAGGGAGGAAGGAAGGAAGGAAGGAAGGAAGGAAGGAAGGAAGGAAGGAAGAAAAGGAAGGGAGGGACAGAGAGAGTGTTAAGGGATTGAAAGTAGCAATTTCCAGGGAAGTGCTTCTGCTGCTTGGAGGCCACATCCATGTACATTCCCACTACATCCTACTATATGTGAGCATCTGCGCAAAACTGACACAACGTTAGCTACAACATCTTTATGTTGAGTCAAAATGCAGCTTACACCAAATCCTGACACACCTTTTAGAAATGTATATTTTAATTGCCAATCAGTCATATTAAAACATGGACTTACTGAGATGCCAAGAATGTGGTAACATGTTAGTGAGTCCAACTAAATGAGCAAATATTTTGTTTCAGGTCTGACTTGCTGTTAGCTAATTACTTAGTGCTGATATTAGGGAAGCAAATATTGAAACTGGACATAGTTCTACCATTTGGCAGTAAAAGTCAAATATTATATAGTAGACTTTCTGTGAGATATATTTCTGTCAAATCTCATTTATGGCAATTTGAGTTTCTTAAGCTTTATAATTAATCATTTACTTTGCAAAGGAACTTTATGATGCTTCCTAAAATTTGAAATGGTTTGTTTTTAAGGTTAATTCCTACTATAGATGGAATGTTCCAGATTACATAATGGGAATGTATAAAATATGATCTGCTAAGAAATGTCTAAAATATGATATATTAAGAAAAAAATAAATTCATTATGCCGCACAGTTTTCTAAGAAAAGATGCTACTGAACGGCTGAAGCTTTTACATGCAGAGTGAGCTTCCTCTCTTTCTATCATCTGCACTATTTCTAAATCCTCCATTTGGTCTTATAGTCTCCATTCAGGTTCAAGATCTTCAAAGACCGCATGTTCCACATGTCCCACAACAATTTCATTTGTAGCTGTAATTTGAATTTCTATGATTACTTTGTAGGTTTGCTTCACCACGGAGTCAAATTCGCAATTCTGTATGTCCACTATAATTTTTGAATAGTATTTACTGACAAAACTGCACCACCAAGCTTCACATAATGTGAAATTTGTTACTGTTGCAGTAATGTTTGCCATTCACTCCCTTTCCATAGTCTCTAACTTATACAAAGTTTTTCAATGGAATGTAATTTTTAAAAAGAAAGCAATGCTAATAAAAATTTAAAATTAAAAAGAGAATATAACTGTTTAAAAAACCCCAAGAATCCAGGTGCTATGGGTTGGAGGTGGCTTGTTTCTCAAAGTTTCATGTGTTGGGGGCTTGATGCTTAGTGTGGCCATGTTGAGAGATGGCACCTTTAAAGGATGGGGTCCCCTCAGATGGGACTGTGGGGCCCTCCATTCCTCCCTGACTTCTTGTTTGTTGATAGGATTTCTGCCTTCCATAGGAGCTCCTAATAGTTACCACAGGCCCACTCTACTCAAGGCAATTCTGGAACCATGCCCTCAAATCTCTGGAACTGTGACCTACACACCATTTTCTTCATAAAATTAGCATGCCTCAGGGATTCTGTTTTAGTAATGAAAAACTAATTCACACAATTTATGAAAAAGAAATGAGGTTCTAATACCCAATAGAGATAAGATATAGGGTCATATGGCTGATTCCTTCACATCCCACAAGGACATTTTGCTCAGATCATCATGTATAAAACTCCTTCACTCCTTGTTTTCAAGGAGGCATCACAGAAGGAGGAAGTCTCTCTCATCACATCCTTCTGACTCTCCTTCCTCTTTGGGCCCTAGTATCCCTGCAGCTGGCTCTAATGCTCTGGCTGGACCTCAGTAGCCTCATTACGGAAGTCTCTTCTCCGCACAAAGCACTGACTTTGGCCCCTCCTCTTCCTCCAAAGCACTCTAACATCTGATAACACTGATGATGAACTGGCGGGATATTTTTTTCACTTGCATACACTGGCAGATTTATAAAACTGCCACTGTTTCCAGGTTCACTCAGGTATCTGTTCAGATTTCACAGGCACCCAGTCACATACAAGAAACACATAGTGCTGTAAGCAACCCTACACTTTAAAAGTAACTGTGGTAAAACATTCCAACATAAAACTATGCATTTAATCATGTTTAAGCACACAGCTCAGCAGCACTGAATTGTTAATATTCCTGTGCAGCCAATATCCAGAACTTTTTCATTTTGCAAAACTGAAGCTATAAGCAATTAAACATTCTCTTCTCAAGTCCTAAGAAGCCACCATTCTACTTTTTGATCTCTGGGAATCTGATGAGAAGGCATCTTATATAACTGGAATCAGGCAAGATTGGGGTTTTAGGTTCATCTATGTGTAGCAAATACCAGAATTTAAGGATGTTTTTCAGCTTAAGGCTTAATATTCAATTATGTGTTTGTACCATGTTTTGTTAATCCATTCATTCCTCACTAGGTTTGTGAGCATTTCTTTTTAAAAAATATTTTATTATTTCTATTTTATGTGTATGTGTGTATTGCCTGCATGTAGGTAAATGCACCCATGTTGAGCAATGCCTGCAGAAGAGAGAAGAGGCTGTCAGATCCCCTGGAACTGGAGTTACAGACAGTTGAGCTGCCATGCGGGTTCTGGGATTCAAACCCAGGTATTCTGCAAGAACAGTCAGTGTTCTTAATCCCTGAGCCATCTCTCTAGCTCCTAGGTTTGTGAGCATTTCTATAAAACTTCTTTTGAGGCCAGGTCTCTTTGTAGCCCAGGCTTGCCTGAAATACATGATCTCCTAACTCAGTCTCCTGAGTGCTGGAACTACAGGCACATTCTATCATGCCAAGCAGGCACTTCTACCTTTCGACTATTGTGAATAAAGCTTTATGAACAAGACTTACAAATATCTCTTCCTTTCAGGTCTTTTCAGTGTCTAACCAGAAGTGCAACTGCTGTATTACATGGTGATACCATTTTTGCTTTTCTGAGGAAGCACTATAGAGTTTTCCAAAGTGGTTGCTCCATTTTACATTTCTACCATTAATGCACAAGGCTTCCAATGTGTGCATACTCTTACCAACACTTATTTTGTGGGTTTTAGGAGTAGCCACCCCGGTGGATATGAAGTTAAGATGCTGTATTTTTAATTTAGTTTTTTCTTCTCAAAACCTCAGAGCTCTTTATGGCCTAGTCTCTCATGGGGAGCCATATTCCTTAATTAAGTGAACATTAGCTCACTAGAATGAACTAGTGTGTAATTGGGTTGATAAAATTTAAGTGTTAAATCTTCTAATGAAGCCAGGAAGCATGCTCTTTCCAACTTGCATAAAATGATTATTTTAGGACAAATAATCCTCCAAAGAAAACATGTTTTATTTACACTCTAATTTTGAAAAGAAAAATGGGAATCTTTCACCTGAAATAAACAGGAAACTGAATGGAGGGCGAAGGGGAAGGAAGTAGTGCAGGAGGGACAGAAGCTTTCCAGGACTGAGGAGCTGAGCACCACTTATAGGCAGCAGCTCAGAAACTGGCATCGGAAGGAAGGCCTTTGGTGCTGTGCTTAGCTGAACAGGAGGAAATCTTTCGCCTTTACTGTCTAGTGTACTTAGTCACTTCTTTCATACTAATGTGTCCTTCGAAAAGACCTAGAGTAAAATTTGTTCACTATAATACTAAATTCTCTACCCAGAGACATTCCCAGCTACATATTTTTGAACTTGTAAAGTATGATGCATGCTCAGGGATGGGAGCTCTCTGTATGAGGATCTGCCATTCCCCGGGAATAGGTACGAGTTTCCTCTTGCCTTCTTTGCTTGGGAGACACAGCTCTGGGAATCATCTCCAACCTTCTTGCTACCGTAAGTTATAAACATTTCCATCCTTCATACCCTGTTTGTACTGTTGGGTTTGCAACTTACCCAGGGCCTTCAACCTCAGAAAGTGCATAGCCTTTGTGAGGAAGTGTAAAGCTTCTAGTACAGCTGCCACCGATGGGTTTAGGGATTCAGTTCTTTGTACACAGGGGAGAGGACATGTGAAAGAAATACCCTATGCTTAAAGAGAACCACCTTTTCCCTTTTTCCATTCTCGGCCCACTTCTTCCTGTCTAACGACCAAAGTCTAATAGCAACAAACCATGAGTTTTATTTCTTTTTAATCTTTAATTTTTTGGTCTTTTTGAGGTAGGCTCTCCCTGTAACCACAGGTGGCTCTCCCTGTAGCCATAGCTGACCTGGAATTAGCTATGGAGACCAGGCTGGCCTCCATCTCAGAGATCGGCCCGCCTCTGTCTCCCAAGTACAGAGATGAAAGGATTAAAGCCACAATTTTCTCTTCTGGAAAATGAAAGTAGCAAATGACATGTCTCAAAGAGATACTGTAAGGGTTAGAAGTGATAGGCATAAGCTCTTGAAGATCTTGTCTTGTAGAATTCTTAAGCAGAT